TTTTAATTTTTATATATAGCCGCTGGAAGCAGAGATATTACGGCTAAATCGACTACTCGGACAAGCTAGTGAGGAGGGGCAAAAGAAGGAATATCCTTTGTTTAAAATCTTTTAATATTTTAAATTATATGGAAATCTTTGATGTCTTCAACTTTGCGAAAAGAGACATATTATCTCTACCTTGAAGGACCTGGAAGTGTGAAGTTATCGTGGGAACATATTAATTGTAGTTTCAAAGTTGAAAAAGCTTTTAAAACTTTTCTTTCCAAATTATTAGTTTAAAAAGGTGAAAGAATATAACTTTTTGAAGAATGAGTTGGACCCAGTAGACAGAGTAACCCCTTGCTGCAAGCAGTCTCCAGAGTTTGGAAGAAGTATTAGATTGGTAGTTGAGTTTGCCTAGGAGTTCAGCTTTGGCACCATTTCTGTAATATATCAAAAATTATGGGCCATATGATCCAATTATGGAGACTGGATTAGAAATACTGAAGTAATGAACTTGGAATTATTTATTAAGTTGACTTTGGATGGTTCAGCTTGTCACCTTAGGAATACTTGGGTTATTGTGAATACTGATTCAGGGGAATAGTTTAGGAACATATATTCACGATCATTAATTATCTCCATCAGCTATTGTTTTGTGAATCAATGGTTTTATGAAATGGCACTAATAAGGAATGAATTAAGATGACTTCTAATTAACCTTTGATTGTTTATATAAGGTTTTGTCATAGTTTATTTTTCCTCCTTTGACATCTCATAGTTTTTTCCCTACAATTTGAAATGTCGTAGGAGAAGCAGTGTTTCATAATTCCACTTCTCTTTATTTCCGAGGAAGTGGGATTTACAGACACTGGATTATGGATAGAATTGTTAAAACTATATATTTCTCCAATTGTGACATGAGTATGAACAAACACCACCTTGCATATTTTCTTGGAGTTCCTTGACAATTTTCACGCTCAGTGAATGTATAGAAGGAATACAGCTTCTGAAATTGGAACACCAGCGGAAACTTTGTGAAGTTCCAGAGATCCACGCTGATCCAAAAATGAACCCAAATTATGATTTAGAAGAAGACGCCAAACTTAGCAATAACAGTAAGCCTGGTAACAATACATTTTTGGACATGGAAGTTTATTTTCCGCTGGTTATTTTGTTTGCTTTTGCTTTTATTACTTAGACGTATTTGTACTAAATCTTGTACTCAGGTACTGAAGAGGGGCTGATCCAGTTAGTCGGGAGTAATAGAATTGATGAAAAAATAGATGCACGTGGATCACAGAGTTTGGAGAAATATGGAAGTCAAGTAAATATTTCTAGCTTGGCAACTGCTGGGAGTGATCAAGCCATGATGAAATCTGGATTAGAAACTTCAATCACAACTGGCTCCATGGGAAACTTGTCGTCTGCTAATATTATTGAAACTGAAAATTTGTGGCACTATCGTGATCCGAGTGGTAAAATTCAAGGACCATTTTCCATGATGCACCTGCGGAAGTGGAGCATGACTGGACTATTTCCACCTGATATGAGGATATGGACAAATCATGAGGAATATGACTCTGTGCTTCTGAATAATGCCTTAAATGGGCGATTCCATGAAGCATCAAAGTTGCCAGATAACATTTCTTCACAGTCCCAAGAATGTGAAGCTATATCTGATAATAGATTTGTTAGTTGTGATACTGAAATTGCAAGGGCAGATGAATCGGGATCCTCCTGGCCACATTTGGGTTTCAACCATGGTACACAACATGGAGAGAAAAATTCAAGTGGAAGAATTGAAATTCAGATGAATGGTGGAAATGATTGTGAAAATAAACTGAATCAAGTAGGTCAATCTTCTCAAGAAAATCTGGGTTCTATCTTAAGTTCGAAAACTATGGTAACTAGCTCTGATTTTGTACCCATAGTCAAGTCACCCACTAATTTATCTAAACATGATGGTGGCATAGACCTCTCACGTCCGCCTCTGACACCTGAGACAAGCATCAAGGACTGCGAAGTTCAGACAGCTGAAAAGCAGCAGTCTGTTTGTTCAAATGTTGCTTTGCAAAGTTCTGGTATCTTCAAACTGCCAAGTGCTGCTCCTGATGAATGGTGTGGATATGACACTGAGCATGCAAAAGCTTCAGTCGAGGAATGGGATTCTGGTCTTGTCTCTGGATCTTCACTAAAACCTCCTAAATCTCTTGGTGATGCTGATACTGCCCTGGCTAACATGCTGACTCTTTCTTCTTCCTCCCATCCTACTTCAGATATAACTAGTTGGCAAGCATCGAGCAATGAAAAGATTGAGATTGATGCTCTTGGTGAGGATTTAGTATCAGATTTGTTGACTCAAGTCATGGAATCTCAAGGTGGCTTGCCTTCCCCTACTTCAGCCATTAAGTTTGAAAAGGAATTAATACAAGATTGTAATGACGGTTGTTTTAGTTCCATTGAGTTCAGTCTTACACGTGATCCCGGAAAAAGTGAAGCCTTGAGCTCCAGTGGGGAGCTACAGTTGACTTGTCAGTCTCAGGCGAATGCTGTTGATCCATTTAGGAGTTCATGTGTACAGTCATCGGCAAGTAGTGAAGGAGAAACGAATGGTCCAGTTTTCCGAGCGGACGCTGGATCAGAATTCCACCCATCGGCACCCAACACAAGTCAAGACATGGTTGGCACGACTTTGGCTCTTGGCACAGGATCTGAAACTGTGGACCCTGGTTGGGGAACGGTCCAGGGTAACATTAATCTGGTGACTGTGCAGGGTAATGTCAATCTGGTACTGGGTGGACCTGCTCAAGGAATTCCGAACTTGGGGTTCACAAACCAGGGGACATCATGGGGAAATCCGAACATGAACCGCAGTGCTCAGAATGGGAGTCTTCCATGGGATAACCAATGGAAAATTGGTGGGGAAAGGTTTACTAGCCCTAGAGATAGGAGTTATCAAAGCGGAGACCAAGGATTTGGAAGGGGCAGACCCCCGTGGGGCAGGCATCCGTATGGAGGTGGTGCTGGATATTCAAGGCCTCTTCCAAAAGGGCAGCGTGTATGTAAATTCTATGAAAGTGGGCATTGCAAAAAAGGAGCATTCTGTGACTATCTACATCCCTGATTGTCTAGTTGAACGACGATTTTCTTGCCGACTACGTGTTAGTATAATTTATTCTTCAGAGCTCTCTGTAGGTGTAATTTTTTGGCTTCAGTTAAGATATTGGCTATATAGTGTTCAATTCAATCGATTGGCTTGTATAGTCCTTTTGAGTGCCAAAGGTAGATGTGACTAGATTGCTCAATTTGTGTATCACCATATTGTTGTTTTGCCCCCCTTTGTAAAGCCAGATGAGTGCTGTAATTTGCTTCAAAAGTTTTTGCAGTTCTCTATATCAAGTATAAATTGTTCTATTTATATTTCTGACCGTATAGGGCGAAGACTTCAGGACTTCATGAAGTTGATGCTTTTACAACTTTTTAGCTCCATACATCTCCGGTAGTAAGAAAGTGTAGTCCTTTTATGAAACATTCAGTCAATGTAGTCCGTCTTTCTAGTCCAGGCTGTGAATTGTGGAAGAAATCACTGAATGGTCAATGCCAGAAGCTTATTTTTACGATCTACAGTCCGAGCCAAATATTTGCGAAATTTTTGGATGTACTAGAATAACCGTACCCCAACTTATATGATCAGTGGTAGAAGAATCACCCAATTTTCTTGTTGGTCAATGTTCAAATGCTTGTCAGACCACTGATTAGATCATGCAAAGGACTGATCTATGTCCATAAGATCCAATAAAATTTCCTGAATTAGGCTGCATCAATAAAAAAAAGAATAGGGAGAACCTGGTGGGTTAGTTGCCTAGAGTCGTATAAAAAAGACCACATGGTACATTACCCAGTAGTACTAGATCAATCCTAGAGCAAGTGAATGGCATTACAACTCGCGGTGGAGTTTTGCTACTTGAGATTACAATGAAGAGACATGTTGCTAATGAAGATAAGGTGTTGAGAAAATATTTAATTTGTCACGTAGGCTGACATGTAATTAATTGTGTATAAATGTTATTTTAAAGTTAAGTTTAAAATTAAAATGATTTACTAAAGAATTAAGTAATTAGGTTTTGGACAACTAAATAAAGTGTGAGTTAAATTATATGTGTAGAGATCACATTCATTAGAGTTGTATTCGACGATAGACCAAATACATATGAAAACTATATATAAGGTTAGGTCTCCAATTCATATACAACTTCTCATTCTTTGTGTTATCCTATCAACACAAGAATACAAGAGAAATCATATTGAAGAGAGCTATAAAAAATCTCACAATCAAGAACAGACAATATACAATCAAGAATAAAGAAGAATGAATTCAAGAATTAAAACTATGGATCAAGAAGCAAAATTAAGAAAAAGAATTAAATAATCAGAGGAGTCAATAATCAAGATTTAAGATCCGGAATCAAGATTAAGGATTAAAGAATTGTTCTTAAAGAATTAAGATATGTTCCGCATTTTATTATGTGAATATGTAGTTGAAAATGAGTTTTGATTTAATGGACGGCAAATAGGGCCTTAGTAGTGGGATATCTCTTTTATATGTAGTAAAATCTACTAAAATATTTCGGAATATGACCAACGTTGGTGTTGATGCTCAATGGTTTGTCGAAATAAAGAAAGCAAATGTGACTCGACATAGTTCTTGATTATGATTTAGGGTTAAATGACCAAGTCATTTTTTTTCCTATATTCTTCTTCAAAGATGTTATGTCTTTCTTTATGATCATCTTTAAAGAGAAATAACTACTAAGAAGTACTATATCTGATAAATGTCTATGCCTATTAAAACCTCACACAATTTGTCAAACTTTCACGTGAAGAGCATTATATTGCTGTTGAGAAGATGATCCCAACTTCGAATTTTTTGTAAGCTTGTAGTCATATGATTTTGGATCTGTTTTGCATCTTGGCACTTTCAAGTAATTATGTCATATCTGGAAGCCATGGAAACCATGCTTGCTTGTTCTGCAATGGTACTACTAAAAGAAGAAGAATCAGAGGAAGAAACCCAATCTCCAAAAAGTTCATGGGCTACGTGGAAACGTGGAGTTATCATATGTGCTGCTGCATTAACTGGAGGAACCTTAATGGCAATTACTGGCGGTATGGTACTTTTTACCTTCCTGGATTGTTTGTGCATTTGGACATATTCCAAGAACAAGCTCAGTTTTTTTTGGTCAAAGCAAACAAGTTTATGAAATATACACATTTACTCTTTCACATGTCTCTCTACATCAGGTTTAGCTGCTCCAGTTATTGCTGCAGGATTTGGTGCTTTAGCACCCACACTATGAACTATAGTCCCTGTGATTGGAGCAAGTGGGTTTGCTTCTGTTGCCACTGCCGCAGGAAGCATTGCAGGTTCTGTTGCAGTTGCCGCATCTTTTGGTGGTGAGTCCGTAGATGAATTGGTAGGATAGCAAAATTTCTGTATGAATTTTTTTTTGTTAGGTATCTTAATGTAAAGTTTGTGATGAGCTATTACTGCTGCTATGCTCTTCATGCCATGAAATGACAATTTTAACGACCTCAATCCATCTGAAAAAAACATCAGATTTTTCTGTGTTTAATCCAATCTGATATTTCTCTCTGCTACTTCATTGACCAAGCTGCTGAAGCTGGACTTAAAGGTCGTAAAATGACTAGGAATATTGGAGACGTTGATGAATTTGACTTCAAAGTGATAGGGGAAAATCATAACCAAGGAGTGAGTTTTAAAGCTTTGCCTAAAGAGAAAAAAGAAAAGAAGTTTGGATACATTGTCATGCCTTTTGATCCCTGGTAGCTTGTTTAATTTGATTAATTAGATATTACATTCCATGTAGAAAACTTCTGCACTATTTTCTTTTCAGTTTCTTACAAAGTGGAAACATGTGTGTGTTTGTAGGCACGTGCATTTTTTGTATTTCCTCAGTTTAACCTTACTTTGTCAGCGGCTAGCAGTTGAGATCTTGGTGTCCGAATTTGTTTTTTAGGACAGTTTTGTAAGACCTTGGGAAGGACAACATGATTACTTGGAGAGGTCTGGCCTGTACCTTCTCTTGTTGAGGTCTTTTCCTACATATTTTAGTGCTACAACTGATATTATCAATGTTATGAATCTTCTCTTGTTGAGGTCTGGCCTGCCGTGGTAGTAGGGCAAAGCAAGTGAAGTTAACACCATCATGTTATTCTTTTGAATTTTTGAAAATTTGTCCAGTGAAATTCCTTGGTTATGATGTTGCATGTCTCCTTACCAAATGTTTACTTGAACATTGACGGTTTACAGTTCCCAGGCTTCATGATTCACTGTCAGCAATGCTACAGAATTGGTTTCTTTTCAACATGTTTTATGACGCTGTCGTTTCTTTATATTTCTTAGGTATGCACTGCAGTGGGAGTCTAAGAATCTAATTTCTATAAGCACTGGAATTCAAGACTGGCTTAATGCAAGTAAAAGATTTTGTCCTTGTAGTTGAATATAATGCATTAACTAGCTACCTCCCCTGGAGTGTGCAATGACATAAACATGACTATTTGCTGCAGAAATTGCCACGGAAATGATGAAGCAAGGTGTCATGAAAACTGTACTAGGCACACTTGTAACAGCATTTGCTTGGCCAACAACATTACTTACTCGGACTTTATTGATAGCAAATGGGCAATTACTGTGGACAGGTTTTCCTAGTCACTTGATTACCAATAAGATACCAATGTCGAGAAGGGACAAAAATTAATTTCCATTGAAACTGAATGTTTGTGATTGAAGGACATATGTACTCAGATCTGCTTGATCGAGGATATTTAACAATAAAACGTAAATTGTTAGTTGAGAAACGACTTGACACTTTCAGTTATCTTCTCTGATAACATTTCCTAGGGGTGGATAGGCAAAGCATTTTCTGAAAATGTCTGAATTATTTTTATTTTTTGGTGTTGCAGCTGTATGATGTGCAGCAAGGATTCTGTCTCTTTCTTATATTGTGATGTTGTCCATGTTTAGAGTTATCTTATTTGATTCCATTTTGTATAGATCTGATGAGGCTGGAAAACTGCTTGCTGAAGTATTGTTAAAGGAATTGCAAGGACATAGGTATGCCAGTGGAAAAGAGGAAATTGTGATTATTCTTATTTAATTACATTCGAAGTTAGAGTTTACAGTTCCTCCAATTTTCATTTCCGGTTGTTCAATCAAATTTTCCAGGCCTGGGACACTTGTAGGTTTAATAATTCTATCGGGCACCAGTGGGGTTAGAAGTATCATCATGTAATTGGCTCAATGAAATGTAGAATAATGTAACTCATTTAATTGTTCCTTTCATTTAATGACATTTAGCACTACCTAAATTGGTATTGTAATATCAGTGATGTTAAATAGCACCACTCTTTCGAATTATATACACATCGTATTGTTGCCTGAAACGCTCAATTTGGAATAGAGTTTCTACGAACGCAGCTATTTTTGCAAATTGCATCATTTTTTTTCCCGGTGAGGTAGGTGTCTTTTATGTTAAAGGACATATCTTGTAATGAAATGACACTACTTGTTGAGGAAAAAAATTATTATGCCATCTTTAATGAAAGAAAAATATTTCTTTGGGTCCCTTAATTTTTGCTTAATAAACAATGATAATTGACAATATATTCATTGTTGTTATTAAAATGGAAAAAAAAAAAAATATATTTTAAGTTTTAAAATTTATAAAGTTAGAATATCATTAAATGTAGAATACCAACATAGCTATGACAGAAAAAACAAAAGATTTTATTCACGTCGGTTAAAATTGATATTTTAATAATGAATAATTGAAGAAGTTAAAATTAGAAGGCTACATTTTTGCTATTACATAATAAAAAATCTCCGATAATCAGTTTTGTTAAGTTTTACCATACCCAAAACAGTTGTGATTGTTTAATTGCTATTATATAGTGAAAAAAATTTTGAGGGGTAGATCAATTGGTCAGATTTTGGGTTTGCTTCTCAATGATCATCAGTTCGAATCCTTTCAAGGCCACTGAGGTGAGTACCTGACCGTAAACTTCAGGGCCCCTTGAAATTAGTCGAGGTGCGCGCAAGTTGGCCCGGACATCCACGGTTATCAAAAAAAAAAAAAAAATATTCCCTTTTCTTTCCAAATTGGTTTAATTCAACGCCTCTCCATAACTTCCCTTGTGCATTCACATATGGTAGCTAGGTTTTTTTTTTTTTTTTTTACAATTATCTGAAATAAAGGCATTGATAAATGGCCGTCCTGGCCTTTCGATGTTAAGTCAACAAGAAAAAAAATAGAGTACATCTTAAAAAATAACAAAATGCGTGTAAAAGGCTGCCTCAATGATAAATTGAAGGGAACACGTATAATAATCCACAAGCTAGTCATACGAAGACTAAGGAACCTATTGACATGGCAAGTTGGACATGATATTATAGGGTCGTCCTCCTAGTAAGTTTAGGAGTCCTAATAGTTTGCACCATATGTAGGTGAATAATAGTGAGCCTCCGTTTGGTAACCATTAAAATTTTCATTCTCATTCTTCTACTTATTTTTAACCACACATTCTTCAATAAAATAATATTTTCCATCACGTCAATAACTTTTCCTTTTTTTTTCCAACCACACATTCTCCATGGACCCCACTTGATGTGAAAGATAAAATGTATTATTTGAAGAAGAATGGCTCCCAAACGGAGCCTGAATGTCACATTGTAGTTGAGATGCACTAGGATATAGTGGTTGGAGTATTAAAGTCCTAGTAGTATACCATCGATGGAGAGGTTGAGATCGAATCACATATCTTGATCTCTTTACTTAGCTTGGGCTACCTAGGCTTAAGCTGAATTTCAGGCTACAAGGGTCCCCAAGGGGAGGTTGGGAGGGTGGGGGTTATATGTACCCTTGTACTTTGGGTTGGACTTTCAAAATCGAATCTATGTTTTATCTTGCTGGAGATCTTTTAAGTTCATTATGCTGGTTGCCATCCAATTAGCCTAATAATACTGTTCAGAAGAAAAATATTAAAACATGGTTACATGACTGAAAGTGAATAAAATAAAAGTTTGTTGGGTAAATTTCATCTAGATGAAGGATAAGGTCCTTGTGGATTCATGTGGCCATTTGAGACATTGTCTATTGCAAAGAGTCGTTAGCATGACCTCATGTCCGATGTTTAAATAGCTAAAAATGAGCTTAGAAAATCTTCGTATGACGTGACCATTGAACAATCTTTTGAGGTGGGTCTGATTCTAATGGTTCGGAGTTAAAAGAGATCAAATCCCTTCCCCATTTTTTCTCCAATTTTACAAACCCAAACTTGGGGCACTATTGAAAACTAAGCCAACAAAGTTTACATAAGAGGTCATGGAAGGGGACAAAATAAAAGAGAGAGAAAAATAAACGGGAGAATTTCCAAAATAGCCGG